TGACAAACACGCGACATACACCCCGACTACTCGTCTTTGCGGTGTGTATTCGGGATGCGCGGCCGCTAACCGCACGACTGTAAGCCGCCAACAAGGATAAAGATAGGATTTCATGTTCCGAAAAAGGATCAGTGTGACCTCTGCCATCAATTTAAGAACATACCTGAAGTTACTGATAAGCAGAGCGAAAAAATATACAATTCATCAAAAAAAAAAGGAGTATTCTCGAAAGCTTAAATTATAAAATAAATTACTAGCAACTAATGATAATAAAAAAGCATGCATTGTATTTGATTTTCAGAAAGTACTGAACGCACCACATGGAAACATTAGTATTTATTATTACAGACGAAAGCTTAACGTATATAATTTTACTGTGTATGACATAGCGCATAGAGAAGCATTCTGTTACATGTGGGACGAACAAACCGCAAAGAGAGGGGCAAATGAAGTCCCTAGTTGTCTTTATGATTTCTTGAATAAACTGGCTTCAAAGGGAGTTACTGAAATATATCTATGGTCAGATAATTGCGGGGGCCAAAACCGTAACCGGATAGTTTAATACATGTACTTGTTAGCGGCAATTAATCTGAAAATTAAAATTTATCAACGCTTTATGGAGAAGGGACATACACAAAACGAAGGTGATTCGGTGCATGCCCTAATCGAAAAATCAGCCAAAGGAAGAGAAATTTATTCGCCAGATGAATGTTACTCCTTAGTACGATGGGCAAAAGTAAATGATAAGCCGTATAATGTCGTAGAAGTAAAGCAGAATGTGATCTTAGATTTTAAAAAGGGTATTTACAAAAAAAAATTGGACAAAAGTGTTTCTCATGATAAGGTTTCTTGGAATAAAGTCAAAGAGATCGGGGTTAATCCAGAAAATATAGGAATGTTACGTTATAAATACAGCTTAGGTGATGTAGAAAGTCATCAGATACAATGCTTTAAACAATTGAGTACGAGACAGTCTCGCTCAGAACCTTTTCCAGACAAAGCATATACCCATTTATTGAAAATAAATAGGGCTAAATACAAATATTTAGTTTATTTCTGTGATAATAATATCGTACCTTAAAAATATCATAACTTTTATAAGAATTTACCAGTGGCAGAGGTCGACCACGAACTTGATGGAAGCGAAGACGAGCATTGATGTCATCTGAATCAGTGTCTTGCTTCCTTATTTCGTAACTATTTCAGTTTTTTATTCAGAATATTTGTTTTGTAAGTTCATAGTTATGTAGTGACACATGCTGATTGATCTCGTAAATAGTTTAAGTAATTTAAGCGATTATTATAATTTAAAATGCTTGAGTCACGTGTATACTTATTTCATAAAAGAATTTGATGTGAATTTTATGGGAATCTTGACTGTAGCTGAGATTATTCTAATTCTTTTGTATTAATTAAAAAGTTAGTTTATTTCACACCAATTGTACTGATTGATCTCTATATTATTAAACAATTACATTTATACAGTGATTATATAAGGTAAAATTTTTATATTTACTAATATAAAAACTATAAAACATTTTTTTTCATTTCCAACTTAGGTATATTATACTACCCACTACCAAAAAAGAAATTAATTATAAATAATTTTGATAATTCAGTATATTTGTAACATGTAACAATAATATTGTTTTGACTAATGTTGTAAATTGTAATATAAAATACTGGAAAAACATACGATTTTACTCATATTTTGTGTCAAACAAAACGCTAACTGTTAACACTGGTCGTGTTATTCTACGCTATGTATGTGTTAGCGGCATGTAAAACGGTAGTTGATTTTATTACTTTCCCGATTACAAAACGCTAATTTTTTAAATTTAGAAATAAGAGAACATTTTGTCAAGATATGTTAGTTGAAGCACTAAAATATTTCTATTATTGGGTGTACTTTAAAATCAATACGTAATAATATTCTAGTATGGGTTTGATTAAGATTTTGAGAGTACTCTCATATTCCGAGACATACTACGCTAACTGTGAGTTGGCGGAGTGTAAAGGAATTTCAAATGACATTTTTACGTCTTAAACTCCGCTAACTAGAGCTAATTTTAAAACTTTTAAAAATAATTAAAATCCAATTATGCAGTTAGAAGTAACAGCAAATTATTTATTCATCCTGAAAACATCATTAATATAGGTGCGATAATAAAAAAGTTATCAATATTTTTTCTTTAAGAGCTTCTCCTGTAAACCTACAAAATCCGAGTTGGCGTAGTGTAAATTGGAGGTATCGATGTGGTCTATCAAATCTGATATAATGGCGGGGTCGTCCAGGACGTGATCACAAACTTCAAACTACCCGGAACATTCATGTTTCACGTAAGACTTGTCAATTTTAAGTGCACATCAAAGATCAGAGCCGTCTTCATTATTAGGTGGTAGGGTTTTTTTCTCCTAGAGGAGCCGTGGTAGCTCAGACGGTTAACGCTCGCTGTAAATATAACATACAACGCGAGTAACCTGGGTTCGATCCCCGCCGGCACCAATGAAATTGTTAGTTGCAATTTTAAGTGCTGATATACCACGTGATCGGCGGTGAAGGAAAACATCGTGAGGAAACCTGCATGTCTGAGGAATATGAAAAAAATATTTCGAAGACATGTGAAGTTCGCCAACACGCATTGGGGCAGCGCGGTGGACACTCCCTTGCCCTAAAACCCTCTCAGAAATGAGGGGAGGCATGTGCCCAGCAATGGGACGTATATAGGCTGTAACTTTACTTTACTTTACTTTAGGGTTCTTTTCTAGCTAAGAGTCAATCTGGATAATTTCCAGTCTCTTGCCTATTTCTACCAAGAAACATCAGTACCTGAAGTGCTGTGCTCTGGTTTGAAGGATATAGAAAAAAAAAACATAAACACTCACGCCTGTCACCCAGAGGGGTAGGCAGAGACTACAGACTTCCATTTAGCACGATCCTGACATACCTTTCTCGCCTCTTCCACATCCATATACTTACGCATACATGCTCGTCGGTTAAGGGTACTCTTAATTTGGCCCATTTTTAGTACATCGCCAATTTGGTCGACAAACTTCCGCCTAGGACGTTCCTTTCCGACTCTTCCATTCACTTCTGCAACATATATTTGCTTTGTCAGTCTTTCCGCAGTCATTCTTTCTACATGACCAAACCACCGAAGCATTCCTTTCTTAATACTGGTCACTGCATCATCTTGCAAACCACACTCTTCTTTTATCACACAGTTTCTCATCCTGTCACTCAGACTCAGCCCTAACATACTCCTTAGCGACCGCATTTCTACTGCATTTATTCTACTCTCGTGCTTCTTCTGCCACACCCAACTTTCACTACCATATGTTAAAGTAGGGAATAATACAGCATTGTGAATTGCCATACGTGTCTTTTTTAAGACATTCTGACTTTTCACAATAGAGTGTAGAGCCCCATATACTTTATTTCCTGCATTCACTCGTCGTTCAATATCCTTATCATATCTCCCATCCCTTCTGAATACACATCCCAAATATACGAACTCATCCACTTGCTCAATTAACTCTCCTTCTATTCTTATTTCACATACCGTTTTGCTTTCATCTCTTTCAATCAAAAAAAAAACCATCACTTTCGTCTTACTTGCGTTCACTTTCATTCCCCTTTCTTTTAACACGTTAATTGCCAATCACGCGACGTCGCGTGTTCCCAGTACTCTTCAATTTGGCCCTTCACGCGACGTCGCGTGAAGTGTCTGACAAGTTTTGTATGAAGCGTATAGCCTGGGCCGGAGCGTTATCGCAACGGTGTTTTTTATGGGCCGCTAGAGAAAGGACTAAGCTATACAGATGGGTCTAAAATTAATAAGCTGCTAAATTAACACTGTTAAATTTTTTTAGTGTCAACACCTGTTAAATAAGTTCTGAGATTGCTGTTAAATTTAGCAGTCACAACTCACAACAAAACAATAATGGTCTTGCTGGCTGGACATGGACGGTGCTCCCATCCGCACCAAACACGGACGCCGGATATATATTTGTCTCGCTTTATCCCACTACTGCAGACCGCAGACAGACGCGACGGCAACAACAAAGAAAACACAAACTAATAAAAGTAGGTACTATCGTAAAAAAAGGACACACGACGCACGTGTTCCGTTTCCGTCTCTATTGAATTGTTTTCAACATAGCGATTTATTTAGCAACTACTAATTTTGTATTTAGTGTTCAGTCACAGTTAGAATGTTAAGGTCGAGCGAGATCATTTAATTAACTGCTAAGTGCTAACTGCTGAATTTGGAAATAATTTATTATAATATTTAACTAGTGTTAAATAAAGACTGACTTTCGTTACGAAGGTTTACGCGAGTTTGTTATCTAGGTAGTAGGTAGGTAGTTAGTGTTGTGAGTGAAAATTCCAATTGTTTGACTGTTTGTGTAGTGTTGTTTGCGTTTGAAACAGAATACTTACAAATTGGAAGAAAACAACTAAAATGGATATACAACGCCAAAAAAAAAGTGAAATATGGAACTTTTTTACGGATAGCGATACCGTAAAAAAAATTGGTACGTGTAATTTGTGTAAAAAAACTATTTCATACAAGAGCTCAGTTTCAAATTTAAAATCTCACATGAAGTTCAAGCATCCTATTATTAATATCCAACAGGCACAACAACAAAGTACTTGTACATAATCTGAGTCTGAGTGTTCCGTTAGTTCTCAACAGACTGTTCCCATTACTGAAAATGCCCCCAGTACTTCAAGTTCTTCGGGTACTAATGATGAGTTTTTGCCACCACCAGCAAAGCAGAGAAAAATTCAACCAAGTGTATCAACTTATGCAGTAAAAAAAATTACTTTAAAAGAGAAACAACGACTCAATTATTATTTAATGCAGCTTTTCATACTTAACTTTCAACCATTTTCAATAGTAGAAGACGTTGGCTTTATCCAATACTCAAATGCTTTAAATTCGTCATACACGCTTCCATCTCGAAAATATCTATCAAATACACTTTTACCAACAATGTACGAACAGTGTAGAACAGAGGTGCAAGAAGTAATAAATAAAGAAGTCGAAACAATCTGCATTACGACTGACAATTGGACTTCGGCGAGAAATGATAGTTTTATGGTTGTTACTGGGCATTTTATAAATAAAAATTTTGATTTGGAATCGATTGTTTTGGACTGTGAAGTAATTTCCGGTCCTTCCAATAGTGAAAATACAGCATCTCAGTTAAAAAGTATTACCGATTCTTGGGGTATTTCAGCTAAAATCAATTTAGCTGTTTCTGATAACGCGGCTTACATCAAGAAAGCCATATCACAGGAGCTAGGGTGGAAACATTTCGGATGTGCAGCACACACAATAAATTTGATAGTGCAAGAAGCGACGGAAAAATCTGTACCCATCAAGTCTGTGATTGAACGTGTGAAGCTCGTCGTCGCTTATTTCAAGCGAAGCACTAAAGCCACTCAAAAACTTGATGAGTTTCAAAAGCAAAATGGAGCAACACAGCCAAAACGACTGCTTCAAGAAGTCCCGACAAGGTGGAATTCCAAATTCTACATGCTCGAAAGGATCGTAGAAATTCAAGATGCCGTCAAGTCATCCATTGCCATTTTGAGTGTTACAAGCTTACCAAATTTAATGCCGGAAGACTGGTTACTTTGCAACGAAATTTGTAAAGCCCTGAAATGTTTTGAAGAAGCATCAAATTATCTGAGTAGTGAAAAGTATTTGACGGCCATTCTATTAACTATTACTTACTACTTATTAACTATAACTATTAATAATCATAAAAGGCATAAAGAGAGTTCTCAACGATATTTTAAGCTCGGATTCTTCCGGTTATCACTATCTGCCAATAACATACGATTTTGTTCGAGCTTTGTTAGATTTAACTCATAGTCGTTTCGAAAATATAGAAAATAATAACACGATTGGGGTAGCTACTTTTTTGGATCCCCGCTTTAAGTTACAGCCCTTTACATCTTCAAAGCAAGCAACTTTGAGGGAGAACATAATCAAACTTGTCGCTCAAGAAATAAATCGAGAAGGACCATGTGAAAATATTGAAGTCAGCAAAAGTTCGCTTGATCCCACCTCAATATTTTACGACTGGGATGCTAGGGGGCTGTACCGCAATCAATTGTGTCACCAACTGCACGAGCAATAATAGAAATAGACAAATATTTGAATGAAAAAGTGATTAGTCGCAATAATTTACCGTTGAGATAGTGGAAGCAGAACCAAGGAGTTTTTCCACATTTGGCTAAGTTGGTTCGAAACAAATTTAATGTACTTTGTACTTCTGTTTCTTGCGAAAGACTTTTTTCGCGAACTGGTTACATAATTTCACAACGAAGAACTCGCCTTGGAGTCCGAAAAGTCAAACAATTGTCATTTTTAAATGGAAATAAAAAATATATAAAATTTTAAGATATGTTATGTTACTAAGTGATAAATAGATATAAGAAAAAAAGATAAAAAAAAACAAGAAAAAAAGATAGTTATATAAAAATTACGAATACTAAAAAATAGATATGAAAAAAAAGAAATCGTTGTAAATAAATTGATTCTCATTATAAATACGCCAACAGAAAAAGTTGACAGTCCTAAGCCTGTGAAAAGTATGAAGGAAATGAGAATTAATTAATATGTGTTAAAAATCTGTCTGTGACTAAATTTAACAGTTGCTAAAAATAACAGCTAATTTTAACTGTTAATTATTTCTAGCATTAGCATTTAGCAGTGTTATTATTTTTTAACGTTTAAGCCCATCTCTGCTAAGCTATCGTAAAGTGGGCGTGGCCATCCAAATCATGCGATAGTTTTAGTGCTACGTAATTGGATAGTTCCAGGTTAGTTCGCTTAGCGTCGCCTCTCGAGCCGGACGGCTTTCTTGTTTGTTTTTAGTTAGTTGTGAACAAATAATACGTATTTTTTTGTAGTATAAAGTGATACTAATTATAATAAAACAAAATTTATAATGAGTGATCATCAACCTCTAGGGGTACGAAACGATCAAACGAGATACCTTTGCGAGCGCAATCAAAACGTATTTTGTTGCACGAATCGGATATTCTTGAAGCTTTTCCGACAATACATCAAATGAAAGCGCCACAAGTATGGCATCAAACTATACGTGCTCACAGAACTGGATGGCTTGATTTTAAATTTCCACGTGATTGCCAGCACAGAAGATGAAACAGCCGGAAAGGGCCACACCGAAAAAATTGTTGAAAAATTAATGCAAAATAAATTGGACGTTGGCCACTCTATCTATATGGATAATTTTTATAATTCATATACCTTAGCTAGTAAACTTTAGGGTCAACTTACTTATTGTACTGGCTGGTTCTAAAATATTTAGATTTTTTTTATGTTGCATGTTTCTTTGATATTTTGTTATTTTTTTGTGTTATATAATTCAAATAAAAATTATTGATACTAAAAATATTTAATTTTATTACATTTGAACTCATAATTGCACAAAAGTGCTAAGGTATCCCAAAACTCGACGTCGCGTGATGGGGCCCCTAAGGATAAATGTACACTCCACATGGCCCATCACGCGACGTCGAGTGATATATAACTATATTATGTAAAATATTAAATATATATACTAAAACCATAAACACACCCGCAAATAGTATTTGCTGTACATAAGAGTTATTTCATTAAAAAAAAGTTTTGGGCCACCAGCAGAAAACTCCAATTTTAGCTTTGGCAATGAACGTGTTAATGACCTGTTCATTAATGTAACCATCATTTGCAACTCGGCCGCCGACGACGCAAGTATGACTTGATCATCGGCGTAGAAAAGGCATTTGATGGTTAACTCACCCATTCTTAACCCGCATTCTTCAACTTTCAAATTTTCCAAACAGCTGTCCATAAATAGGTTGAACAGCGACGGGTAAGCTACACAGCCCTGCCTGACACCTTTATGGATGCCAAACCAGTCCGAGTAGACCCCGTTGATTCTAACACAAGCACTCGAGTACCTATACAGAGATTTTAATGCCTGTATCAAACCAGCGCTCGACCTAAATGCGTTCAGCGTTTGCCATAACACATCCCTGTCCACTCTGTCATAAGCCTTTTCCAAGTCCATGAACGCACAAAAACTTTTTGGTTTTTCGCCAAAAATTTCTCCGCGATCATGCGCATGGAAAAGACTTGATCTGTACACCCCATTCCTTTTCTAAATCCAGCTTGCACCTCCCAAATTTTTTCATCAGTTTCTTTCATAACTCTTTCAATTAGTACCTTAGCATACAGTTTTCCCACAATGCTAAGAAGGCTGATACCACGGCAGTTTTTACAAACCTGCTGTGACCTTTTTCCCTTATATATTGGGACTATCACGGCTTTGCACCAGTCTCCCGGTACCCACTTTAGTTCCCAACATAAATTAAACAAGGTGTACAGCAGGCCTGCCACCACGTCCTCTCCAGCCCTTAGCATTTCGAGTGAAACTCTATCATATCCGGCTGCCTTACCTACTTTCATGCTTTTCATTGCTTTTATTATTTCATCTATACTTATCTCCCTATCTCTTTCATCTTCTTTTGGAATTTCTATTTCATTTAGTTCACACTTCTCCTCACTCATAAATACGCTTTCAAAATATTACTTCCATCTCTTTAGACTCAACACTTCATCATTCAGGATAAAGCCATTCTCGTCTCATATCGCATTCAATCTAGGCTGTTTTGAAAGTCCCCTGGTATTTCTTACGAGTTTCCAGAACATTTTAATATTTGCCTGGAAGTTATCCGATATTCTTCTATCATCCTTATTCTTACTTTTTTCCTTTCAACTAATTCTTTTACTCTCTTATTTAAACCTTTAAACTCTGCCTTTTTTCTTTCACTCTCATCATTCTTACCGCCAGAATTACCAGCTTTGGTCGCTAGTAAATCTAGCCATGCTCTCTTCTTTGCTTCAACTTCCATACGTACCTCATCATCCCACCATAACGTATTGTCTTTCCTTTCATTCGTTCTCTTACTAACACCACATACTTCGGTAGCTGCATCCACTAAACCTTAATTAACATTATGCCACACATTCTTCAAGTCTAACTCATTCACACACAACTCATCCAAATTACTTATATTTTCTCTCAGTCTGCATTTGTACTTGTCTTTCACATCTTCATCTTGTAACCTCTCAATTCTTATATGCTGTAACTCAGTAGTAGACACAGATGTCCTATGCCGCAAACGTCTGAATAAACCTCTAATTCGGATAATACGACCAGGTAGTGGTCCGTCCCTACGTTGGACCCCCGGTAAACCCTTGTATCCACCACTGCGCTCCTCATTCTTTCATCCACAGTTATAAAATCTATCATGCTTCTATCATCACCTCTTTCCCAAGTATACATGTGAATCTTCTTATGACGAAAGATAGTGTTCGTCACAAAAAGATTCCTTTCCACACATACATAAGGATATAGAGAGCCCGTATAATTTCAGACTGTGATACATTGCATCTTAGACCCCAGACGTGACAACGCATCTGTAGAATTCTTTTTCAAAGTTGGTTTCTGGTGTCCATGGGCTGCAGTAGCAATTTAATATCTGGTGCACTATTAGTTCGATTACCACTTCAAGTTTTGTATCGAAAAAAAAAACCATCGGTCATTGCTTGTCTAGACTAAATGTGTATTACATATATTTACCTTTGTACTAATACTTTCTTTTTTATAGTTCGAGTCATAGAATACTATAATTCACTATGTATTATAAATTTTATGTATTATAGACAATTTTCCGAATAAATTATTATCAGTAGCTTTTTTTATTGTTAATTTACAAAAGAAAATATATTTCTTATTTACTTTGAGTGGTTCTCTAATGATGTGGATGTGTTAACTGAGCGTAAAAAATAAAGTAAAAAAAATAAAATAACCCCCCCTCCCCCCAAGATTGCCAGATAGGTAAGATATTTGCTGAAGTTGCCTTGCTTGGCAAGTGGGTTTGCAAACGATTTTTCTTTTATTATTTTGAATTGTTATAGAAAGATACTCTCCTGTTTCATGTCCATCGCCTCTAACAAGACCCGTATGATATAATATAGTGGGTATTCTTACTCGTCACCACATAGTTCACCACTTTTGCACGCTTTTAATAAAGAGCTAATTTTACGGTAAAATCCACGACGCTCCAATTTGGTTTGGCGGACTTCACATTGGTTTAGCGCACTTCGAGATATATTAGGATATATCCTCGGTATATTGCTTATCTTTAAGCAGTTTTGCATGTCATGATGATATATAAATATGATAATCTGCGCAGTAACCTGCCACTATTTCAACAAAATTTTAGAACAAAATAAACAAACGAGAAGCTAAATCTTGGGAGAAAAAGAAATGAATTATCACGTTCCTTGCTTAAAATAAACGACTTTTAAGAAACGAGTCCCACTTTCCTTAGAAAAATCACGAATCCACCTAAATATAATCTGAAAATGCTGTTTTTTGATATGCAGGCTTCACTGTAATGTTTTCCCACACCACCAAACTTTTTAGCAAAAAAGGGTCTGACTGGTCTGGCCTCAACTGGTCAAAGTTCAAAAAAGTCTTTGTTGAACTTTGACCTCCCCTACCAAAGTTGTTACGTGTAGATAGGGAAGTAGATTAGCAACCAATGTTTATGCGACACTTACGTAAAAACGGAAAATCAAAAATGAATATAATAATATTATTAAATAATATAATTTAAACACAACAGTATAAATTAGTGCATGAACCAAAGATTGACTCAGCTTGTTATAATATAAAACTTAAAACGAGCGTCAGGAACTGCTACATCAAGAAATATGTGAATAAAGCGAATTTGACTAACGGGATCATAGACTGCATTCCTTCGCTTTACTTGTATTACCAAAGTTTACGACACATACAAACAACATCTGCTCTATCTTACTGAGTTTCGAATTCAATATTGACTCATAACTCATATATGAGCAATGGCAATATTTTACGATACTTTGTATTGCACTTGAAACTGAATAATATTTGAATCTCAATTTTATGAGTCAATATATTCATAAAATATCATCAGTTCTGTAATTGTATTCTTCAATTGGAAATTTTCTTCTTTACTAATAAATTGGACGACGTTTCGACAGACTATGGTCGCCTAATGAGGATTTAATTATTGT